AGAATCCAGGTGGTAGAAAGACTATTGTTCAATGCTCTAGCATCTAGCTATGTTTATCCTTTCAAAAATGTTCAGATTAATCAACTACCCAGCCTTTTAGTCTGGGCAAATGCCAAAGGCAGATATTTTGGCCCCCATCATTCATGGTTTGGCTCTAAACTGTTCTGACTCAGGCATTCCTCTTGAACACTTTTTCCATTGAAAAACCAAAGCACTGCTCCTTGAGAACAAACCACACAAGGGTCTGTGCACCATCACACTGCCTAATGCCTACAATTGCTACCCACAACTCATCTTTTTGCTACCAAGAAATGTGGGGAGTAAGCAGAATCATCCATACGCATTGTCCAACACATGAAAAGAACAGATGTAGAAAATATATCCAATGCATTGTTACCATTTAGAACACTTTTGCTTTATTAAAAAGAGAAAAGAAAGGGCCCTCCCTGGTGGCACAGAGAGTTAAAGCACAGCACTAACAAGCTAAAGCCGCTTCAGGATGAGTTTGATCCCACCCCAGAGGTGATCCGCATAGTATGGCAGACCTCTCCTGACCCACCCTCTGCTTCCCTCAGCAGTGTACTTCATAGATCTGCCTGTCCTGCTCCCCGCTCTGTCTCTGTTGAACCCTCTCACCACCCTTGAACCTCTAGCCTGTACCCCAGCTCTGTATGCATAAATAAATAAGTCTTTGAAAAAGAAAAGAGAGAGAGAGAGAGAGAGAGAGAGAGAGAAAAGACAGTATAAATAGATCTGGGAGGAAATACAAGAGTGCTTTTACTTGTATGCAAAATAACCAGAGTACAAAAGAAAAAGACTTGTGAAGGAGGGAAAAGAAACTGTTTATAGCCCTTTGCCCAATGTGGCCATCATATTTGGTTTACATAATGCTTTGGTCAGTTTCAGCAGAAACCAGGAATTGTAACTATTAATTATGCAAAGAAATAAATTCTTAGAAAACAATCTGTGGGCATCCTAGCTAGCCCTCGTTCCTCTGTTTTAGTAATTTGTATTTGGGTTCACAATGCCTGCTAATCATAGCTCATCTAGGAAGACGTGGATTTTACAAATAGAAATCATTTCCCTCTGGACATAAAAATGATCTCTAAATAGACGACAGAGCTAAGGGCAAACTCTCAGTTTTGTTTTCTTTTGCTTGATTCTTACCGTGTGTTAGCATATCTTTTTACTGGTAAGAATTACAGCTTCCTGCTGTTTAGCATCCTGAATTAGCACTAAGAATTGTTTTACTCTTTGTTGATCATTGTTCTACACTTCATAGGATCACAACCTGTACAGATTTTGCACGATTAAAACACGAGATATTCATTCAGCATCCCAAATATTCACGGCAGGATTTTAACAGGTTAGAATCAAAGAGGATTTGGTATGTCATGCTTCGGGAACACCGTGATACATGGTTAGGTGGTTTCTTTAGTCCTTCTAAGTATTTAATGTGCTCGTGTGCATGGAGAACCCCCAAGGCCATCAGAACATGCAGGTTTTGTCAAAGTTTAGATTTAATAACGGGATGCTTCTGTTGAGGGTCCCTTTCATCCCTTGTCCTTTTGAGGCCTTAGGGCTCAATGCATAATCTAGACCAAGTTTAATATCCTAGATACCTTTTAACATTTTCATTCACCATCAATACTTTAGGGACATGGTATCCAGCTTGCATTTAGTTTTCTACTAAGCAGCATCTTAGACCAGACATCCCTAACTATATACTCCATGAGGGTGAAAGTGGGGAGATCAGGATGCAGGACCAGGTGTGGGCAAGTGAGCTTGGGGGCTCTATTGCAGCCATCCTGGGCAGGGCTCAGGTCCTCTCATCGCTCTGTGAGTACGCACAGCCCTTGAGATTCATGGGGTATAATGAATAAGACCTTTCTAGATTTTGATAGGCTCACAAGGGTCAGATTTACACTCAAATGATTCCATTTTCCCAGCAGTTTTAGAAAGCCATTTTATTTTCTCAAAACTAAAGAAGAAAATTGATTCAGAGTAAAATTTAAAAATCATTATTTTATAGTTCTTAAAAGTGATCTTAATAAATATTAGGAGCTAATTGTGATTACATCCTCTAACAGCCTGGGAACTCTGGTTTAAATACAAATTCAGCCTGTGTGATTTCTGGACTGAAGACAGTTAGGCTGAGGCAAACTGTCAATTACCTTTCCTTAATTACCCATATTCAGAAACAAAACAATACCAGTCAAAAAGCTCTTTGTAAAAGAATATTTGAGCTCCAGTGTAGATGTCAACCACAAGGAATGTAAAATATGAAAATTCTGTCCCCAATTTGAATGCTTTCAAATGGGAGATGCCAAGTTGGTAAGTTTATCCAGAGGACAAATGAATTGCAGGTTTCTGAAGACATAGTTAACAAGACCTGCTTCACTGGGCTGCCCCCGTCTGGCCTATACCCCAGTTCTGTATGCATAAATAAATAAATCTCAAACAATAAAGAGAACTTGGCATCCTCGGCATCGTCTTCACAGGTTTTAACATGAAGCTGGAGAACCAGCCAGCCAGGAGACAGAAACTTGAGCCCCTCCCCAGGGTGACTCCGCCTTTTCAGTCCCTCCTACACACAGGTGTGAACACTTGCACATGCGCACACACCCACGCTCAGGTGTCCACAATCACACACATGTGCCTCGCACCCATGCACTTGCTATGTCAAGATCAAAGTCACAGGTGGTAGCGATAGACCAGAGACGAAAAAGCCTGATTCACTCATATATCCTATACTCACTCAGGTGGAATTTATTCCCCACACCCAACCAGTACTGAGACCAATGCGGCAGAAGTGATGGTGTGCAGAGAAATAAACACTCACACTAATGCCAATACACAATCACTTACGCCAGTGAGCTTGCTAGTGGGGGGTGAGGGGGGGGAGGTTCCAGGACTTGCTGCACCCAGTGTAGCCAACCCACAGCCTTCATCATCCAGGGGACTCGGGACATGTGGCAAGTCAGCTGGCATGAAATGGTGGGAATGTCACAGGGTTACACCTGACAGGAGAAAGCAGACATTGTGCAAAAATGAAGAATGATGTAAAATATATATATAAAATCTTAAAAATTAAAAAAGAAAGTCCTGCCTAGATGAGCTCAACTCCACATGCCATGAGGTAAATCAGTGCTTCCTATCGAGGTATATGATTCCCACACGGCATGATTATTCAAATAGACCCATAGGCCCACCACAGGTGGCTGTGATGGGGCAGTGGTGACCCCTGGACTCCACAGCAGTCTCACTTTGGTGACTTAATTAACCTCACAAGACATGGGCTGATTTTATGTCAGTGAAGTTTTTGGTCTGTGTATATAGTATTAGCGGCGTTTCAGTGTATTTTCATTAAATTCTCAAATACGAAAAAGAGGTGTGTTTGTAATTAGTTCTTCTGAAATAGTGAAGGAAGGACAAAAACCCAAGAGCAACTGCATTGTTTTAAGTACAAGTATAAAATCTAGAGAGAAGTAAGAAGCTGAAGGCTTATTATAAAAATACATTTTTTCTTTCCATTTGTCCTCACATTTTCAACTACCTACTCAACAGTTTGCTGGCAAGCAACAAATGTATCTTTAGGAATATTTAATGCAAATATTACTCTGTGGCAGACAGGATATTTAAAACGTACACTCCACAGAATGTTGGTTTTAACAAATTATATGTTTTAGGGGTTTCTATTTCATAGACAGCTTTTAATGTTAGACTCAAGTAAGATGATTCTCAATACTGTTCCCCAGGGGAAAGCTTCAGAAATGGATTGAACTGACTATCAAAGTGGTTAGAAACCAGTGCACATATAAAAAGCACATTATTTAAGAGCAGGAGTTAAAAGTGGATTTGCAAGGATTCAAGGGAACACCTATAGCTCCCACATTATTAAAACCAAATCTCAATAGGCTTCTGTGCCTATTTTAAACATTCAACATTTTCCCTTATCAGTAAGCCTTCTATCTGTAAAGGAAATGGAGAAACACACACACTTATTTCACAAAGAATAAGACAATGAAAGCAAGAGAGGGAATGTATTCAAGATGAGAAATTGCAAGAAAATATGCAGATTTATCAAGATCTAGGCTCTCTCTATATTTTGTCTTTATAAATGTACTTCAAAGTTCAGATTCAATCAGTGAACACAGCTGAAGAAGATCAAAGTCATCTTGTGTTAAAATTACTTTTATTCAGGATGAAAAATACAACATGTAACCAGATTAGATGATAGTTTATGATTAGTTCTTTACCACATATTTCAAAAGAACTACATATTTATTTCCTCTTGTTGTTACTGCCATACAATTCTTTTTATTATTACTTAGACGGTTACAACGTAGTGTTTTATGTAGCTGTTCCTTAATAGCAGAGAGGACGCCTCACACACAAACACAGAAAAAAATTAATACAGAACTTTTCAAAGTAAGAACAAGTAAGACACCAACTCTACAACATGTAGTTCAGAGTTCAGGGATTTTCTTTTCTTTAAATAGGTGTTTTTCTTAGGTAACATGTGGCCTGATAAAAGCTCTAGATTGTTCAGACTGCAGCAGCGTAAAGCTATTTCCAACGCAATGGATGAAGATGGGTCTGAGGTAGAAAGGTGGTGATGGCTTCCTCTTATATAAAACAATTTTCTTCTTCTCAAAATATCTATGCTGCAAATAGACACCCTTGCCCCCCCAACCCACCCAACCTATTCTAAAAGAAGAGCAGTTTCTAACTTTAAGCCTCCTTCTGGAAAGATCCCAGTTCAAGAGAACCCAAAGTTAAAATGTCCTGATGCTTTAGAAGTAAATATGCCAGGTGAATTAAAACATATTATTTTCAGTTTGGTTTTTTTGTTTGTTTGTTTGTTTTGGTTCCTCTACATTTGGAAGTTACATGTTTAACTAGAATCTATTAAATGTGAAATCAAACCTCAACTGAGTACTTTACTGAATGCACTGAATCTTCAGCCAACGGGTAACATGAGCTAAGCTTTAATTTCATTTTTTTTTTTTTATATAGAAGCAGACACTTGATGAACATCCTTCCCAAGTATATAGATCTAATGTGATAATAAAACATGTATTCATTAACCCAAAAGAAATATGATACACACATTGCATTTGTGTCTGTTTTCAGTAAAAAAATAAAACTGGGAATTTTGAGAATTGTAACGGTCTTGAGTATACATAAACAGCAACAAAATTGTCTTTAAAGGGGGTCAAAGATAGCAACACCTCAATCATCAGGTAAAGGGATGCTGGGCACTGAATAATAAAAATCAAAACCTGGATAAACTAGGGAAGGTGCCAAGTTTTGTTGCAGTATCAAATGACAATGTGGTTAAATGGGTACCTTTGGGAAATTATCTTTCAGATTATCATTATCTTGTTCTATTGAATAGACCAGGGCATGAAATAAAGAAATCAAGGTCTACTTATAGAGAATGGGGAAATAAAATGTAGAGGAAAAATCCCAATAGAAATGCCAGTGAGGCCTGCAGAATTTTTCTGGTGGTCTCCAAAGTGGACAATGAAAAAGTAAGTGTATGAGGTCAAATACAGTTAGATAGCATACACAGAGGTATAGCTTAACCCATATACGTAAAATATTTGAAATATTTGAAACCTATGAACTTGTTAATTTGGCCAAATCACAGAAACAAACACAGGAAATCCATTTGGTCATGTGGCTGATAAATTATAAATAACCAAAACATAAAGGCAAGAGAGTCCAAGAAATAAATGAAGTTATTTTACAAGGTTAACATGAAGGAATGTAAATACGTGAAATTGTCTTCTAATTCATAGGCAACTTTTGTCATTGTTATTAAAAAGAAGGTATCGTTATTAGAAAGCCCCACCCACTCTCCCAACACTGTATACAGTATACAAATCAGTCACAAATGTATTCCTGTTTCCAAATACCTCTCTGTTCATTAATTTACAGTTGCATAGAAAGGGAAGAAGAAAATAATAATATATGATTATTATAAAAACAAAATATCCTTTTCTCTTTGGATAGTCAGTGTTTTACTCCAGTAGACACACAGCCAACGTTCAGCATGTTTGAAGGAGTCATGGAGTTTCTGATCAAATGGAACTTGGGATTGGCATTTGCTGAATAGGGCAATACTGTAAGTCAGGAATTGCTGATTGGCGAGATGAACACTTCACATTGCCTGTGGGGAGGGAAAACACTACTGTTAGAACACAGTTTACAGAAAACATTACAGGTAGTAGGGGCCTGTCAACTCTTCAAGGAAACCCAAGTGCTTCTTTCAGAATGACGCCAAGCCCATTATGTGGTGTTTATGTGAGAGCCTTTTTCCCAAGTGACTTTGGTTTCCTGGGATGAAGGTCTCCTCTCATCCTTAAGTCACCTTGTCTGGTTTTTATCACTGTAGCGAATACAGAGTGTTTCTGGAAGCCTTCCTCTTGCCCAGGCTGGAAACCAAGTTAAAATGGAGGGGACGTGTTTTTATCTTGCTGAAGTACCAGTGGAGATTAAGCCTTCTGTAAACTCCTGTCTTTCTCCAAAGTACAAAGACCTGTGGGAGGTCTCCTGCAAAGCAAGCAGCCTGCAGAATTCCAACGGAGCTGTTTCATGGGGAGGAGCTGTTTCATGAAGGGGGGTGGTGTCCTGCTCACCCCAAGAACTGTCTTCTTAGCACAGTGTCTGGAAAGATAACCCAGCAGCCACTTCTCCCAGGCAGCCAGACACAACCAACTCATCCTGACTCTCACCTGGAGCTCATGAAACTGGGCTATTTTTTTTTTTTTTAAGATTTATTTATTTACAGATACAGAACTGGGGTACAGGCCAGAGGTGCAGGGGCAGTGAGAGGATTCACCAGAGACAGAGTAGGGAGCAGAGTAGGGAGCAGAAACAGGCAGATCGACGAAGTGCACTGCTGAGGGGAGCAGCCATGTGGGTCACATCCCGGGTGGGGATTAAACTCGCACTGAAGCGGCTGTTGCCAGGTTGCAGCTGCCTCCTAACCCATTACACCACCAGGGAGCGCCCTGAAACAGCTATTTCTGAAACTTGTTTCTGTCTTGAACATTTCCCTGCCATTTACAGGGAGACTTTTGGGATGTGTTGGGCCCCTGGGTACTGAGATGTGAAGACACCACCACGTTCCATGGGACCATGAGATAGTGCCAACAAGAGTAAGACCCAGGGGACAGAGAATGGGAGACTCTAGTTCTAATGGGGGAGGGAAGACAGTCTTACATATTAGTACTATTATCCAAAGCACTGTGCTGATCCATATTGGAAATAAAACCTAAAAGGATTTTTGACCTCTTTCTCTATACTCTGTTATCTCTGAAAAGTGAACAAGTCCATTAAATAGGAGCACACTAATGCTACTTTTAGTTCCAAAATTCTGAAAGCTTACATCTATGCAATATAAATATTAGCACAGCTATCTGGTTGAAAACATTAATTTTTTATGAATTCCCAAGATTTGAAAAATGAGAAGAAAAATGCTAACACAGAATACAGGAATAAAGAGTAGAGAGAGAAGAGGAAGGAGTCTTGTGCATGAATCAAACATTTGCCTCGCTGACTAAATTGCTGTATCACCAGGAACAATTTCACTCTTTTCTACTCTACTTTTTTAAAATCGAAAAAGCAAAGAAGAGAAAGCCCCCACGACCGCTTTCAGCTTTAAAAGCTGAACGCTTGTGTCTAAAGTATTTGAGATCCCTTGTCCCCTCCCTGACCCCACCACTCAGAGCCTCGCCTCACCATGGGGGTCAACAGAACTCATCTCCCCAAGTTCCCTACCCAACCGTAAAATGCCCTAGACTCATGCTCACGGCTCCCTTCTGTCTCCTGGTCTCTGCTCCTCGTGGAGACCTTTGCATTCCTTGCTGTGCCCCCACATTCCACCTCCCTGGTTCCTGAAACTCCTCCATGTCCTCTACAGCACATGGCCCATCGTCACCATTAGGATCCATCTCCTCACACTCTTCTCTGATTGCCCTCACTCACTTGCTCTATTCATTATCTGAGTTCTCCCCTAAAGGCGGAGCTTTCCCTGTAAGCGCCTCATGTGACTCCTTTCAGCGGGATGCTCATATACTGCTCATAGATCCTCTTTATAATTTTCAGGGCATTTACTTTCCTTAAAAAAAAAAAAAAACAGTCCAGCTTTGAATTCCATGCCATAGTAATTTTGTAGGCACTATGAAGTTACCTACTGATCCACTAGGCCACATTCCCTCACTTATTGAAGAAGAACTGGATCACTGTCACCCTTGTTACAGGTGTTTTAAGTCATCATGATTTCAATCCCCACACAGAAGATTCTTCCCACCTGCTGGCTCCAGCTCTAGGTGCTTCTCTCCTCCAATATTCCTGTCTCTACCCTTTTTAGCTACTTGCCCCAAGTTCCACTATGGATCATCACCAGTATCTCTAACCCTTTTGGTGCTCCAGCTATCGTACCTCTCCCCAAACAACTTCACCATTCCAGCTTATTTTCCCAAGGTAGCCACTTCATCTCCCCTTGGAGACTACCACCCACTGACCCTGCTGCCCTTTCCTGTCTCCCACACCTGCCACTCTCTGCTCCTGCTCCTTCAAACTTAGGTGTCCAGTTCAATCGTCATCATCATTTGTCTCTTCCCTCGAATTGTACTCATTTGGCCAAACCACAATTTCAACCTTGACTAACAGCAATATTTGGTCTGTTCTGGTTCCTGTGCTCATGAACTTGAATGTAGCTAGAGGGGAACACAGACCTGCAGATGGGATTCATGAGAAATTCATGAGTTGGCACCTTAAGTGGTAGCCTCTAATGTTGATTGGAGTCACACTTTACACCCCCCTCCATCTGCTTTCCGATCTCCAAGCAGCAACGATATATCCTCTAATCTCTCCCCACACCTCCTGCACCACCTCTCTGTACCCACTCTCTGCTGAAGCCCCATCTTCTGAGTCCGAAGATGATATAAGCCATCAGAAGAGACCTTGCTCCCCAGGGTGAGGTCCTTCCATCTTAAGAACCCTTACGCCACACCCACTATGGTGACTTCACATCCCTCCCCTGGCACTACCCCTGGCGATTCTAAACACAAATTCTCTGTGCTTCTTGTTAAGATTCCAGATCCGCTTGCCAATAAGACAATAATACAATCAGAAGATTCTGTTTCTAGAACATAAACAAGTCCATGAAAAAAAATGTTCCCCAAAGACCTACTATGATCTCATGGCACAACTTGTACATGTGTCTGGTAGGAGAGGCATAAAGCTAGAACTGCCAACAGTTGTTGGTAAAATTTTGAAATGAAAAAAATTAGAATATTCATCCCTATAAAGAAACAAAACCAGCCGTGGGCTTTTAAGTCAATGTGCTGTGGCTGCTACCTTACGGAGACATCCGTAAGAGCAGTGGTTGGCCATAGCTGCGGGGTAAGTTGAGTCTGAGCTGCTAAAAAACTATTAGAACACACAGATCAAGACCTTGGTAGTTCTGATATTAACAGTCTTGGCAAGGACCCCTCCCCTCAAGGCACAAACTACTGAGCTCTATCAACTAACATTTAAATGTTAAGCAAGTCAATAGCACTGAAGTCTAAAGTCCACAGTAGCTGATTTGCTTACTCTAGATTATCAACCACCCCTGAGCCAGTCAACCTTCAACTTACCTGTGGTCTGCTGGGGAGATTTGCTGAAAGATAAAACAAGGACAAAAAATCAATTGAAGTTGGTTCTGCTGCTGCTCCGCTAGCTCTCCCTCCGGGAATGTAGAGGTGCGGAACGTACCTCCCCCCGCCCCCCCCAGCTGTTAAATGCATGCTAATAAGAAAATAAGAAACAGATTTTTGGAATTTTTGGTTCGGTACTTTTAACAAGGGCGAGTTTCCCAGTTAGTTGCTCACACCATAAACTTGAAGATACAAAAATTCCACCAATGTAAGTAAAATATGTGCTAAAATTTTTTTTTAAAGATTTATTTATTTATTCATACAGAACTGGGGTACAGCCCAAGATGTGGAGGGTGAGAGAACCCACCAGAGACAGAGCGGGGAGCAGAACAGGAAGATTGACAAAGTACACTGCTGAGGGGAGCAGCGGGCGGGTCAGGAGAGGTCTGCCATGCCATGTGGGTCACCTCCGGGGCAGGCGGGGATTGAACTCATGCAGAAGTGGCTTAAACTTCTTAGTGCTGTGCTTTAACCCGCTGCACCACCAGGGAGGGCCCTGTGCTAAAAATTTTGAAATCTCCTATTTAAATCCTACTATGCATTTGGTTTATGGGCCAGACAGAGCAAGTTCTGTGTATATGGCTGAAAGGTTCATATTCCCTGATGGGACCAGGGGGACATCAGGGAAATATATGCAGTGTCCCCTTCAGTGCCCCCTATGCCCACAGCGCCCAAAGGTGAGGATGGAGGGGAGGTGCCTGCACAGGAAAGGGCTGGCCTCGTCCTGGGCCACCCTCTAGGGGCTTAGACTAAAATCGGGGCTTGGAAGGGCCCCGGAAGAGCATGAGAGAAATCAGAACGTGGTGTCTAGTCTGCCTTTGCACCCAAGCAGGTCATCCCTCCTGGTACCCTGAGCTTATGGGCATTGTAATGGCAGCCTCCAGTAAATCTCTCCTCGATAGCCTCTTCCTTCACAGTAAAAGATCAAACCTACTCTCTTATACTGATCCTGGAGGGAAAGTAACAACGTGTATCCCCCCAGAGAGGATCTAATAAGAATCATTCCCAATCAACTAGCATGGGTGATTCTGCCTATCACTCACTTTTCTGTGCTGAGGGAAAGCTGGGCACACAGTGCTGACACAGAGTGACAGTACTTTTGGGGAAGGGGGTGAGCAAACTAGAAGGGCAATGTTCCTACGGTGCCTGGAGGAAAGTCTAGGCCACCAGGGTACTGGGAAGAAGAACTTGGCTCAAACCCGCCTAGACCTACCAGATGTGCAAATACATCAGGAAAAATGGACACCTCAGGCTTATGAGCTCCACGCAAGGAACAGCTCAGCGGAGTATGGATTAAGTATACACTAGGCAGAATGTGCATTCCTCCAAGGAAAGAAATAATGGCCTCATAGGTGGTCATGGTCGTCTCATGGGATGGCAGCATTGGAAGTGACACAGGGTGAGGGAGAGAGGACGCAGAGCTCATGTGGAGCAATGAGACGCCTGAAGGAGTCACATGGGGGTGTGATGTGCAGCCCCACCCACAGGCAGCCTCGTATTTATTACATCAGCATAAAGGTGGGGCAAGTAGGTAGGGTGGGTACATGTGTGGGGAAAGCAGTGATTGGGGGTGTGAGCTGGGGTGGCATGACCAGGGGCTATTGCTGGGGGCTCCACTGAACCTGCAGTTAGAGCATGTCATGTCTCTTCCGTGTCTGCCTGCTGTTTCAGCAGACACTGTTTTCCCAGTATGTTCCTCACGCCTGGACTTTTGTCCTTAGCGAGACACCCCCAGCTTGACTCAACACAAGCAGGGCCTCTGGGCCCCAGGACAGTAGAATAAGGACAGCTGGGATCCCACAGTTCAAGATGTGTTATTTGGAAGGGATTATTTTGAGCTAAGGTCAATTAAAGCCCTGCAGGTTCAAGAGTAACTTCTATCATTTCTTTATCTAGGAGAATGATAAATGGGGGCACTGCCCATAAATTGGATTTTTTATTAGAAAACGAACTTTCTATTGGAGAAACTATCCATGTGATGCGGCAACCATTTAATTATGGAGCTCGTGGTCTTCATCATATGACCCACTCACTCCTTAGTCTGTGAGCTCCCTCCTCCCTCTGTGAAACGCCTGGACCTCTTCATTTTTTACTTAGGATATATACCCTCACTATGCCCCATTTACTTTGGAGATCATATTCATGTAGATTGTCCATAGGTACAGCATTAAAATTTATTTTTTTCTCCTATTAAGCTGTCTGAAGTAAATTTGATTTCTCGTTCTGCACAAGAAGAATCTAGTAAGCAAGGGTAAAACTTTCCTTTTCTGTCTCTACAGTAACAAATAGCTAAACCCAAACAAAAATCAAATCCATTTTTGTTCCAACTCATCATTTTAAACATATATGTATATATTTACTTATGTTTAGACATATATATACACACACATATAGACATATATCAAATAAAAGCTCATTGTACTCTCTTGAACATATTATATAAATATATTTTTAAAAGAAACCATCAAATCATTCCAGTTTACTAGGTTTTGTGTTTTAGATGAATGTCACTAGAGCTTAATAAACACAGGCAATTCATAATGAAAATGGCTTATAGATAAAAATAATTTTGAAAGGATTTGTTGGCCTAACAAGCCAAAAATATTTATCACAAGTATATTTATATCTATGATATAAATGAAAAAACTGACCAAATAGTCCAACCACTTATAACAGCCCATGGAAATCTTAATATACATGATGGCTATTAGGCCACACTATTAAATTTCCTTCATTAATGCTTTGCCAGAAAGAGATGAAGATGCCTGTCTCTGACCTGAAACTCAATACAAATAATTTTTTTTTAAAGACTTTAAAAGATATAATTAACTGAAGGATGCTACTGGAACCAACTGGGATATTAATTAAGACAGAGAAATTCTAAAGTATCATGTGCAACAATATAGAGACACAGTTAAAAAAAAAGTCATGGTTAAGTAGGCAATTCATATAATTAGGATTTATAAATACAGATTCATTATAATGCTAAGATTACCAACGGTGGAAATTCACTTGTGACAAGGCTAATTTTTAATCCACCAAGGATCAAAAGTCAAGATTAACATGTAGATCAATTCATTGTGTGCTGGTGACAAGCAATTTTAAAGTTCTCATTAGTTATAGGAGCTCAAGGGATTTTCTTGGTATTGGGAGAGTGCCAATCCGATTTGCTTAGAAAAATTCTCCAAAGGTGGTCAGTAAGCTTTGGGAATGTGAAAGCTTATTAAATTACTTGCAAACTGAGCAACTTAAACGTGGCAACAAAGCAAATGGTCACACAGAGCCTTCTGAGTGCTATCTGGGGAAACTTCAACAACTAAACATTCCTAGAATGATTGAACTCAATCATTCATTAATTCATTCCATTCAGAAACATGTAGTAGGTAGTACAGCAATTTTTAAAAAGATTTGATAAATTTAGGCAGAATTTTTTTTGATAAAACTTCATTTATTGTAAGATTTTTATCTTATTTATTTTTGCGTAGAACTGAGTTATAGGCCAGAGGTGCAGAGGGTGAGAGGATTCACCAGAGACAGAGAGGGGAGCAGAACAGGTGGATCCACTGAAATAAACTGCTGAGGGAAGCAGCAGGCAAGACAGGAGCGATCTACTGCACCATGTGATTCAGCTCCCTGGCCAAGGACCAAACTCAGGCCACTTTGCCATGGGACGGCCCTCGTGCTGACAGAGCAGAGAGCCCCTACGCCACCAGGTAGACCCTTTAAGCAGCATTTAAAAAATATCTATCGATGTTACAAATAAGACAATTAAGTCTTTTCTTTTATGTAAAGTGGTCCCATCTTTGAGATCTTTATATTATAGAAGTAAATTATAAATACAAAGAACAAACTAAAACCAAAGCAATAACAAAAGTTCAGGAAACAAATTATAAGATCTAAATTCCAAAGGATTCTGAAGTACAATAGTCATAATTTTTTACATGGGGTAGAGCCGAGTTCTTTACTCAGTAACACAGAGTAACACTCATCCATGGAGAGCTACACATTTTACAAATATTTGTGAATGCACAAACTTAAAATTGTAAGAGCACATCAGCATCCCAGTAAGAAGTCCTGGGGCCACCTAAAGCCCTTCATCATGGAGAATGACCAAGGTGGACAGGACACCAACGAGAAGTCAGGGATTAATCTACTATGTGGGATCCACTGAAAAGAACTACTCTACTCAGGAACCAATAATATCTATTAATAGCTAATATCTAATTCTGGTGAATAGGAATTTTATATTTGCTTTTAAGGGAGGACATAAAATGAAATGAACATACTAACTTCTTAATATTCATTTTTGCCCTATAACTATGATTATTATTTATTTTTAATTATAATCTTCTAAAACCTGAAATAAATCAATCTTTGACAATATATACATATGAGACTATGAAATGGACTTAGAAAATTAAACTTTTAAAATGACACATTAAATTTTTATGTAAAAATTTTAATAAGGAAGTTATGTTTTGTACCCACCACACATATAAAAATATATTTAAACACTGTGTATACAGTAGCTTTTATTGAAATGACTTTTAAATTGAAAATATTTATCATGATATTTAATAAAAACTTCCAAAATAGGCACTGGCTTATCTAATTTGTTATTAACTAATTATTAATATATTTGGATTTAAACTAAACAAAAACAGCAATTTTATTTAGAAATTTAATTTTGAAATCTGGCTTATAAAGACAATGATGAGATCTCACTTAGTTAACATAGCCTACAATTCAGAAACAAAAAACATAAAAAATTAATCTTAGGTGATAATTAATATGACAGATTTAATATGTTCATCTATGAGAGCCATTACTAAGTCTAGAGAATAAGAAACAATCTGAAAACATTTAGGTTTCCACTGACTCCCTGAAGCTTTTGGTGAGACCCTGGAGAGTCAAATCATGTGTGTGCATATGCATGTGCGTACAACACATGTACACAATTTATATAGAGCTGTGCATGTGTGTTCATGTGTGCACACATATACATTTATGCATGGTGTGTTCATACCCGTAAAACATGTGTGCACATTCATATAGTGTATGCACTCACGAATGTGCAGTGTTGCATAGCATGTGTGGTGTGGGCATGTGTGCATTGTACAATGTGTCTGAACACAGGCACACACAGCTTTCTGAGTAGGGGGAACGAAGCGCAGTAAATAAGATCCCATCCACTTAAAGAAGTCACACCCTGGGAAATGATAGACTGATACAACTGATACAGATACAGCCCATCTATGTGCTTGAGAAAGCTGGAAATACCTTTGCTACGAGAGTTCAGGGATTATAGTTTCAAAGAACTGTTTTCAATTCCTGCTAATGATGGGATTTTGTAAATTGCAGAATGGTATCACTTGAAGTCAGCATTTTAAAATGAAGTTAATATACATTACTAATTTGTTCTTTGGGCACTGTCTTTTTTGTCTATTTCCTGGTTTAGGATGGTATTTTCTAAAGGAAGGCTGAAAAAAGGGTGAGGTAAGAGGTGGTTTATATATCATCTTTATAAATAAATGGGAGCACATTATAATGTGTATGATAATTCCTATAACATATATATATATACAATATATACCATATATAATATAAAAGAAACAGCTTCTCGCCTCACCTTTTTTTAGGGTGCACACATAGGCACACACCGTTTAACAGCCGTCTAGATCTAAAAATTAGTTTGAGTGAAAAAAATCAATAAAATTATAAATAATATATTTCTATTTCATTTAATGATTATTTAAAATAACATTTTATTAATAAGTAGTATGTTTGCT